ACTATTTACGGTTTAGGGTTTAGGACGAACGGAACCTCGTGATCAGTGTTTATTGTGCCGAAGTGTTGAAGTTTAACATGGAAAAGCAAGATGTACATCAAGGGCACAGGCTCTATCAACACTGGAGCTAACTGATCGGCGAAGCTGGCGAGCGCTTGGGAATTTTCAGTGATAGTCGCCAACTCCTTGTCGAGCTGTGCTTCAGAAACCCCTGTCTTGGGGACTTCCTGGACAGGAAAATGCACAGCTTTGCTTGCCTCCTCCTTCTCTTCCTCGACCCCGGGGCGCTGTTTTGCCTCCCTAAGGGAATCCTCAGAGTCTTGGTTAATGACAGTGTCCAGGTCGTCCAATGATTGGCTTTGGTATCTGGACAAGCTCCGCACCTTCTTGCCCAGCGTGAAATTCCTCCCAGGGCTTTGCAATGCTTCAGTCCCACAAGCTGCCAGACAAGCTACATACAAACAAACGCTAGATTCCTAGACCGATACGAGGCAGAGCTGGGCATGTTTGGAAACTGCAGTCATGAGCTTCTCCACCGATTGCGGAGCGCTGGCCCGGGTGCGAGGCAAATGGTCGGCATGTTCGTGCATGAGTAAAAGGAGGCCCTGGTTCATCTCGCGCTGAAAATGTTGGAGAGGTAAGTCGTTATCATCCACGCCAAATGGCATCTCCAATTCAGATGCTACCATGTTCAGCGCAACCATGCCGAAGATGGGTATGAAGCCCACAGGCAGGGCCCAATACAAAGAATCTGTGATGGAGATGATCACGACAGGTGTACAAATAGAGTGGATCACAAGAAGCAACATGATCAGCTGAGCCCATGGGAACGGGAAACTGGTGTCTCTGATCTTCACAGCATTCAGTAGGTTCACCAGCCCTCTGGACAGCGTCTGGTAGACCCGGGAGAGGATGGGAGGAGGTATATTCAGGACTCCCGTGTGAAGATTGTGCGTAATTAAAACTTGGACCATATGCTGAAGGGCACAGACTCTGTTCCAGCCATACTTGTCCTGACACGTCTGCGTGAAGCCCAATGTCCCATCATCCAACGAATGCTTGTCAATCGTAGGAAACCGATCGCGACATCCAGCAATCTCATCCAAGGCTGACTCGTGCATGTGGCTAACAAGCCGCACAAGTGTCTGGCGGAACTGAACCGTTTCCACAGGAGATGTCTCCATCGAAGACTGAGAGAAGGTAATCAAGCAGCTGACAGAATCAAAGTACTCTCCTCGCATTTGGTGCAGCAAGCTGGTACCTGGCTAGGCTGGCAAAATCTACTTCCCATCTTACTCAAGTGGAAAAGAAATAAAACAATTAAAAAAAAAAGAGAGAGAGAGAGAC